TACGTTTGGAAGTTGTTTGACCTTGCTTTCGCAACTTAGTCATATTAGTAGGAAGACTTAGAGGGACGCATTTAGTCCGGAGTGCATGTATGCATGAGAATTTCTAAAATCTGACCCTAGACACGGTACATTCCAAGACGTTTAGCCGGCATCATCAGTGAGCTTTACCATTAGCACCACACTACAACTCGTCAGAGGCAACTGAAGCCGATCCTTTGACCAATTATCTGCTAAACAATTGTGGTATCTCTCCTGCCTTGGGCTATTCATCAATCCTATATCCTCGTATCACACCTTCACTATCGTAATTTCTTATTTAAATATGACATGGTGCGCACTTTTTAGCGGATTTCATGAGAACCCTCCAAACCCCACGCTGGCCTTCTCAAGCCTCACTCCACAATTCTTTTCCCGGAGTCCCTATCTTGCCTCGTGGGATCCGCCTCCTACGTTCCTGGTTCAGGTATTCACTCGACCCCTGCCACCATATCTATACTGCTCGAAGCGTTATTTCCCACATTGTCTCAAGTCTTTGGTGGCACGCATACTCCCAATACGCTGAGTAGGCCCCAAAAAATCAGGATTATCAAGCTGGATGCGAGACTAACTTGAGGCTAAAGAGCCCGAGTAATTTTCATGGTCAAGTATTTACTTCATGGACCACATCTTCTCTTAGCCAACTAGCTCCAGTCTCCACCGCATCTATCGTGCTTCTATATATAGTACCAAGTCTATGACTACCTGTGCCCTAGTCTCTTGTGTGTCAACCCACGAATGTTGTGGTTCTACATTGAACCTAATCAAAATAAATAGAATCACGAAATTCGTGGATTGGCACATACAAAAGTAGAGCATAGGAAGTCATAGATTTGGCATTATTGATAGAAGCTCGACAATTACGGTTGATTCTAGAGCCAGTTGGCTAACAGTAGACGCATTTGCTTATAGACGTGGTTCATGGAGCAAATGCTTGATCATGAAAATTACTCGGGATCTTTAGCCTCAAGTTAGTCCTTCATTCAGCTCGAGAATATTGATTATTCAGCGAGGCGGAACTATGCGTGCCATCAAAGGCTTGAGAGTGTGGGAAATAACGCTTCGAGTAGTACAGATATGGTGGCAAGGGTAGTGAAATGTCTGAACCAAGGAGGTAGAATGCGGATCCTACGGGGCAAGAGACAGACTCAGATAAGACCTATGGGAAGAGAATTGCAGGGTGAAGGTTTGAGAAAGCCTGTGTGGGGTTTGGAGAGTTCTTATGAAATCCGCTAAAAAAATGGTACACCATGCCACATTTGAATAAGAAATTGTGATAGTGAAGGTGTGATACGAGGATATAGGATTGGTGAATAGCCCAAGGCAGGAGAGGAGATACCAAAATTGTTTAGCAGACAATTCGTCGAAGGATCAGTTTCACGTGTCTCTTTGACGAGTTGTACTGTGGTGCTAAGGATGATAAAGCTCACTGACAATGCCGGCGAAACGTCTGTGAATGTACTATGTCCACGGCCAACTTTGGAAATTATGATGCATACTATGGAGTCCAGACTATGTGCGTTCCTCTAGGTCTTTCTACCAATATGACCAATTGGGAAAACAAGGTCAAACAACTGCTATACAACGAAAGGAAACTTCAACCATACAAAAGACCACACCATTTCGAATAGACGTTTAAAGAAAAATATACTTTATTATTGTTTAAGTACACGTATTTCAGGAAAAATTTAAATTATTGATGTGTTTACTATAATCTGTGAAAAAATTTTTGGTCAATATTATATTAGCTTAAGATAATCTCGTTATCTAAGCGATCAAAAAGTAACTGCAGTCGTGGGATTAAAAAATTATCCTACCCTATGAACTAGAACATATCCCCAAGATGAATTATGTTTGATTGGTTATATTATTACGCAGTAATTGCGAAGCTTACGCGATGTTATCTCGTTCTTGTGCTCGAGTGTTCTTTTGAATTTAGCTGTGCAGGTTGATTTACCAAGCTGGATACCACTGACCGATATTTCTACCCATGTACGAAAGCTCCACTAGGCTCAAACCAGTCGTCTATCAGTCTACCCAATAGTTTTCCGTTTTGCTGTGCCTAAATGCACTCTTATTTGTTCGATACTTGGTACTGCTGGCGGTCATGAATCCGATCGGTCCCAGTGAGTAGCGAAACCCTAGTACGTGGCTCACTTTTTTTCTATTTAATACCCACTACCGTCCTGGATGCAATACATCTGTCATATCTACTACACGTTGACCGGCCCGACTTATATCTTTTAGTGAATAGTGTAATCTTTTTGCTTTGCGGCTCCTAAATTGAAATCCATGCCCACTTTTTCTGGTGTGAAGTTATGCTACATTATTTCAGTATACGTTTCGAACACATTTTATTGCAACAAACAAAAAATCCTGTTACTTAAAGCATAGTCCCACTTTGATAATTACTGACGGTTGTGCGCCGGAATTAATGTCTTTTATCGTGTATGCGTTTGAATGTTATCTAGAGTAAGGCTTTAATTTAAAGTATAAATGCCACAATTTTACACTATATGGATTGCGGACTCTTAACCAGTGATTATTTGACCAAATTTTTGAATAAATGCCCCCTCTATTATCTATCTATGTCTAAAGTTTTGCCTTTAAATTTCCATGTTCTCCCTGTATTGGCTTTCCCTTGAAAGGTGAAAGAAAAGACCTCCAAATTGAAGGAATTGGAAGCAGATCTTCTTCGTAGGGCCGAAATAATGCGAGACCAGCTACACACACAGGAAGCCGAATTGACTGTTGCTCGACAGGCTTTCGAGGCAGAGCGGGTCGCCTGGCTTGAGGCATGGAAGGAGTTTGATGAAATCGGACCAAGTGGTGACTGCTTTCCTGGAAGTAATGCATCATCCGCCACTTTAAGTGCCCCCCTTGTCAATTCTGGTAGGGCACCCGGGCTTGTGGGTGCACCGTCCATTCAATTAATGGGTCTTGGAGACCGAGTACTTTCAGAAGTAATCAAGGAGCGCACCAAGACAGAAAAGAAACGTAAGGGTCTCTTTTGAGCCCAATCCTCTTCCCGCTTGCTGATAGGAACACAGACCAATCACACTACTTGCCTACTAATTGAGGCAATAGTCCTTTGCATTTAAACATCATATACTACGTCTTATACTTGTGTTCAAGATGTATATTTACTTAGCGCGAAACCATGGCTATCTTCATTAATTTTTTAACACTAACGTGGCTGTTGAGTTCCTCTCCTATTAGGGTTCATAGCTACTTGCCATAGAAATTTCTTTTGCTCTCGCTACTTTGCTGACCCATTTATTTTGCCTTATCTTTTTAAACACCTGCCCTTCCCTTTTTATGTGGCCCGCCAATTCTAATCGACGTACTATGACCATATTTTTACAGACATACTGCCGGTTTCTTTTATTGACCCGCATAAATAAAGCTATCTTTTATTTAGTTATCCTAAACTACTTTTGCAATCCGCAACAGCCTAGGCCACAATCTACAGAGAAGGATGACGGGATCGCATCAGCCGATACGAGCCGTGAGTGCAGATGCCCGAAGATTGTGGCACAGCAGAAATATGGCGTAACAGTGTTTTGATGTGAATTTCAGCCCATCATGGCGTTAGACACGATAGCCCCTAGTCTTATTTGTTCCGACCTATGCAAGAGTGGCTGTCATGGACGAACAAAATCTCAGAGCAGAGCAGAAAGGGGAATTGTCCGTACGCAAATCAGCTGGGATAAATGCAAAGGTTTATGACCGTCTATTCTTAGCCGTTGAAATAAAATGGAGAAAGAAACTCTATCTTGCGACACAGGCTACACTTGCCGAAAAACGTAACCGAATCCTTGTCTAACGGAATAGGTGCGCCATAGAAAGAATTTATATCCAAGCGATATGAACTAAAATTGGTGTAAGCTTAGGTCTGGCCCGAGTCACCTTTAACTGTGTAATATTGATCTAACCCGGTTCTTGCAACTTGGCCGAAGCTACAGGGGTACCTTGTGGAACCTGCGTAGTCCGGTGTCTTCCGCTATGGCATTCATGATGGCCTCTTTAAGTCTTCAG